TGCATAATTTACATGATACCTGCTGATTTAGTTCCGTGTGGAAGCTATGAGTTNCATAATTTACATGATACCTGCTGATTTAGTTCCGTGTGGAAGCTATGGGTTTTCGGTTTATTAAAAGGGTTTGAGTTTTGATTATTTGCTCTGGGGGGAAAGTTTGGTAGAGGCGTTCTTGTTTTACCTGGGCGATAAGTGCTGAGTCTTTCCACAACTTCATACCGAGTTGTTAAAAACTCATTCATATCTGCCTTTAGCGGCAGTTCTTTTCGAGAACTCAGCGACTGTTCCCACAAAGAAAGGGTTTCACTGGGCAGTTTTAAAGAGCAAATATAGACAAANGTCTTTCCACAACTTCATACCGAGTTGTTAAAAACTCATTCATATCTGCCTTTAGCGGCAGTTCTTTTCGAGAACTCAGCGACTGTTCCCACAAAGAAAGGGTTTCACTGGGCAGTTTTAAAGAGCAAATATAGACAAAGATGGGGTCCCAGTCAGAGGTTGGGATTCCTTGTGCTGCCAAAGTGGACAAACAGTTGTTTATCGTGGTTTGGAGTTTTTGAATCTGCTCACCGTTCTCTGAGTAAATCGATTGGAGATTAAAGAGAGTTTTTAATTGGTTATCGACCAATATTCTGCGGTTTTCATACCGCGCTTTCAGTGCCTCCCAGGCTAATTGAAAGCTTTCGTCAGTCAGCGGGTATTGCTTAACCAATTGCCCTGCCTGGCCTCTCGTTTTTTGGCGTAAATGGTAGAGTTTCTGGGCTGGTGTTAGCTTGGGATGATTTCCATAGACTGCCGTGAACATATCCCTAAAGGCCGGCCAGTCTTCGTACCCACCATGGAATATTTCGGTGTCACATGGTGGTACTTTGGGAAAAACCTCAGGGGCGTTGGAATTATTTGGAAGGTTTCTGGGTTGTGGAGGTGGTGCTAAAAGCTGCAGAGCATCTAGTATTTGGGACATACAATTTTCGTAGCTTTCTGAGTACTTTTTATATTTTTGCTCGATTGAGCCACTTGAGNGCCACTTGACTCATCATGATCTCCGGAAAGGGATACTGCTCTAAAAGACACAACGAGTGATTCCCACAATCTGTCTAGTTGCTGGATCTTTACCCTCAATAGAGATTCTGTCTGGTCAGCTATAAGAGTTGCTGACCATGTGGAGTAAAATGACTCTAATCTATTGCTTTCAAATATGAAAGCTTGGAGACTTGCCTCTGAATCATTATCAGAAGTTAGTGTTTTCTTCTCCATTGTATGTGAGATGGATAATTCGGGTCAATTCAATTATATACAATATCTCGTTATAATATGCAGGGGTAGAATCGAGCTTAATTANTAATATGCAGGGGTATAATCGAGCTTAATTTTGTTTTAAAATTGATTTAGAGTGATTTAGAGTATTTTATTTATTTTGTGTGGGTACCGGTTTTGTCCCACTGTGAGTAAATAACTTTTTGCTACACTGTACTGTCCTAGCGCGTCTAAGTCCAGTAACAGTGCTTTTTATGTGCAGTGCAAGAGCGAACAAAAAGGGTGGAGCTTATTTATGTACGCGTTGGTGTGTATGTACGTACCTCGACTGTTTTTTTTTTTATGTACATATATATATGCTATATGAGTGCGCGGTAATCGAATTATCTGCGAAATGTGGTTAACGGGTAGAAAAGGGGTAAACAAACAACCACGTATGTATTTATATATACCTATTTGAAACTTAACANGTGCGCGGTAATCGAATTATCTTCCAAATGTGGTTAACGGGTAGAAAAGGGGTAAACAAACAACCACGTCTGTATTTATATATACGTATTTGAAACTTAACTGAAACAATGTTAGTATGGGTCACCTTCGTATGCGATAATAAATGGAGAAATGGGTTTATAGTGCTGTAAATCTATTGTAGTGGGAAATATTGTGAACGTGTGTATAAAAATCTTTTAAAGTGGGTGGGGCAAGCTACCCTGCCAGCCACGGCTCACCACTTTCCCCTGAAAATCAAACGATTCACCAACACATACCCAACTTTTTTGTCATCTCACCCACACACTCAAAAGTTGTCGAAAACAATTTCCATAAGTAAGAGCAGCGTAGCTAATACGAATTCGCAATCTTATTAGAACTAAATGCGTTAGAGCGAGCAAGTGAAAGTAAGGCGAAATTTGGCAGCGAATTTCAAATTTGATACTAGTAGGCTGCGAAGAAAAATATCAATTTCGCGCGAAATTTTGGAGGTAAGAGGAATTTGTCAATTGTAGTTTTTCTTTTATAAAATATATATTTTATATATCCCAACATCAGGAGCGATCAAAACCCAACATCTGGAGCCATCAAAACCTTGAAGGTAAAAAAGACTTTAAAGTTTCCCAATGTAACACCGTTTGGCTGAGTTCCAGGTTGGTATATTGCAAAGCATTCGCCTTTTTTATTTCTAAATTAAATATAACTAATGAAAATGTCCAATATGCGCAACCATGATTAAATGCCGAATTGGAACTTAATTGCGCAAATTGGTCATTTCCATCACTTATAGTTTAGAAATAAAAGAGGCTGGTGCTTTGCAANAAATGTCCAATATGCGCAACCATGATCAAATGCCGAATTGGAACTTAATTGCGCAAATTGGTCATTTCCATCACTTATAGTTTAGAAATAAAAGAGGCAGGTGCTTTGCAATATACCAACTTGGAAATCAGCCATTAACAATTGTTAACAGTTTAATTTGATTATAATGTAATTATTTCTTTTAGATTGCCAAACATCTGCAAGACATCCACAGCACACTGAACACCATTGGTCACCAACAGCTCTCAACATTGTTCGGTGAGTTTTATTGTACAAATCAGTCATGCCCAGCGCAGGGCACTTGCATATGGAATTCTGCCAGCGCAGGGCATTTGCTTATGGAGTTCTGCCGACGTTGGGCATGACTGGTTTAAATATTAAGAAACGCGGTTGCTCCAAGTGCAATGCAAATATGTATGTACTTTTGTATGTTAAAAGTGCAACTAGGTAGATATGTAAACAACAAAAAGTGTGGTGCAATAAATGTGAAAAGTGCAGTAGAATGTCTGTTTTCCTAAGCGCAACAATATAAAAATCAGTTTCTTTTAATTCCAATTAACAGCAAATTTACTTAATTTGTGCCAACTGAGTTTAATGTAAATTGTGTAAATTATCATTTCGCGGTTGTTCACTCAAGAATTGATGCGTTTTTAAAAACAGTGCATTTAGTTGATTTAGGAGTAACTAAAAAACTACTCCAGTTGCTTATTAAAAGAGGGAACGTAACAAAGATGAATGAAAAAATATTATTTCTGAATAAGTTCGTTCCCTCTGAATTTTCCAGACTCAGTCGAGATCTGCTTGAAATAAGCAACTGGAAGTCGACAGAATACCGGCAATTTTTATTGTACTCGGGCTTGTTTGTTTTGAAAGACTGCATACCGAATAACTTGTATTACCATTTTCTTTTGTTGCATGTCGGTATTCGCCTTCTCTCTTGTGAGAAGTCTTGTCAAGTAGAATCTAATGTCGCTAATGAAATGTTAAAAGAATTTGCAAAGTTGTTTAGTAATTTTTATGGCGAACATTTAATCAGTTTCAATGTCCATATTCTTTTGCATTTAAGTGATTGCGTTAAACAATTTAGTCCTTTAGACAATTTTTCTGCATATAAATTTGAAAATTATATGCAATATTTAAAAAAAAATTATTAATAATCCAAATAAAATATTGCAGCAACTATTTCTAAGAATAGAAGAACGAAGAGATTTTACGGATTCTAGCAAAATTACACAAATAGATAAGTTTATTATAAATTGTAAAAAAGAAAAAGATAGTTTCTTCTATAGTAAAAAAACGGGATCCCTAAAAATTGTCAACCAACAAACCCAAACAGACAGTTTTGGCGTTGTAGTTTTGACAAAGGTTGGGGACATTTTTAGGGAGCCCGTGGTGTCCTCATCTGATTTAGGTATTTTTGTAGCTCAAATTATAGATGAAGACATTCAAATTATTAAGAGAGAAGATATAGACCATAAGGATTTTGCTATTCCAGTAGGGAATAAATTTATTTTAATTCCTATGTTACATAACTTATTTTATAATTTTACTTAGGAAGAAATGGAATTTAGTTTTATAATTGATGGAGAGGAGGAGCCGGATATCAGTCAGGCAAATGGTAAGAAGAATCAGTATTCATTATATTAGTGAAACTCTCCTAATTGAAACGTTCTCATTGTAGCTGGAGTATCGCGCCGTTTCGACGTGTCCCAGCCTTTCCTCGACCGTATGGCCACCCAACCTGCCGTGGATAATGACTCAGGTACATTAAACTAGCAACATACATATGTTGATTGTATTTTTAATTTACACATAAATTTTATGAAATTCAACAGCGCAACAACAAATTTTGGCTGCCCTTGCAAGAATGGAGACTCGGCAAGAAGAAATATTAAAAAGGCTTTCCGCCGTAGAAAACGCCCTTGCCGAGAAGGTAGGCTTTTTAAATTTAACAAATGTTTAAACTTTGTTTTACACTTTATTTTATTTTCAGATGCCCGAGCGTTGTGAAGTTCAAGCGCAGAGTCAACTGCTGCGTGAATGTAAGGTGCTCTCTGCGAAAACCCACCGCAGTGTAAGCCGAATCACCGGTGACCTGGTAAGTGAAGAGCAAACTTTACTGCAAAGTTTGCTACCAATGTCATCGGAGGGAACACTGCATAAGGTGGAGGAGCACCTTCAAAACAAGGCACACGCTGACGCTATGGTAAGTTACAGTTCTGCTCAACAACGAGTATAGTTTTTTCTTTTATCAAATATATATATGTATATATTTATATGTATAAACTCTAATACATTTAAAGGTGGGCATCATCATGCAGCTAAAAACAGCCAGGGGTACAGTGGAGAAAGTGCTGCAGTCGTTATTCAGCGACGAGTTGGTGTGGCTGTACAACTTCGATGGGAAGGCTGGGAAAAAGCCACTAATTAAATTAAAAACTGTGGAGCTAGTTCTCGGTAAGTGTTGTGATATTTAAACAATATTACACTACTAATTTTTTAATACTAACAGCCGCATTTGCAAGTATGCACTCTGACAAAATTTTAGCAATCAAGCACTATGTAGTTTTATGTCATAATAGATATAAGCAAAATCGAAGAAGATGCCAAAATAGTAATTAATTTTTTCTTATTTTCTCTATAGAGTGCTTCACAATTATACATCACCCACTTATTGAGAAGTTGCGACCAATAATTTGTATATTTTTTAATTTTTTTATGAAAAAGTGGGTGATGTATAATTGTGAAGCACTCTATATAATTGATTCGTAAATGTAAATATTAAAAAAATAGCTGTAAATATTAATATCTGTGTTCGTATGGAAAAGTAGCTTATGTCGAAAGGCTGGCTTTAGTATAAATCGGTATTCGCAGCATACGATTGCGAATGACTTACGGGCGCTAAGCCGTTAAACAACTTTTAGCAAATAAACGTGCAAGAAATAGTTCCGATGCTAGCAAGTCAATATTCTTTTTAAGTCTCATCAAAAAATTCCTTGTCGTTTAAAAAATAAAGGGAATGCCGCATTATACTAAAGCCGGCCTTTCGACATAAGCTACTTTTCCATACGAACACAGATATACAGTGGTCGAAATAATTTTAAAGATTTAGTCAAAGAATGAATTATATTTTTATAAGAAAATAACCTAAATTAAATACTTACATTACTTTCTTTTTATTTGCTATGTGCTTCGTTAATGTAAATACTAAACAAAAATTTTTTCTAACATCATATTTGCTTCCTGAATGTGTTATATAATTTTGTATATTTTAAACTTCTTCACCCTATTTCTGTCCCTTTTTAAAAATATTAATATATTTTTTAAACTTTATTTGAAATGTTTAAATTGGTGTTGGATTAACTTAATTAATAGTATTGTAAATATGAGCATGATTTTATCCAAATAAGCTGATTTTTACTAAACTATAGTCATCTGCTTTTTGTATAAATAAAATCCATTATTTATGAATTATATTTCATTTGAGAAATAATAATTTGTTACTTTATTTTTCAGATATCAGAATCTAACTGGTTGCATCCACAATAATAATTTTACCATTTTATTTTAATTTCAGATTGCTGTGCAAAAGACGTGTTGAAGCATCAGCAGCTACGTTTATA